CTCCCCACACCCTCGAAGAAAGCGAAAAATCTCCCCTCGAAGAACAGCTCCGCCGCGATGGGTCCAGGCGCCAAGCAGTTCGTCTTTATCTGCATACCTTTCAGCTCCTTCGCCAGGATCTTCGCCATCGCCTCCACCGCCGCCTTCAACGCCGTGTACGCGCTGTATCCAGGCTTCAGCGCCGCCACCAGCGACGTCATCAGCAGGTTGATCCGCGCCCCGCCGCCGCACTTCAAGCAATTGGCCGCCTCCCTCGCACAGGCGAATTGCCTCGCGCGTTCACTGCGAAGATGCGGTCGAAGGACTCGACGGTGGTGTCAGCAACGGAGGGGTAGGCGTCGTCGTTGATGCTGGCGGAGTTGACGAGGATGTGGAGTGACGAGTCGAAGGCGCGTTGGGCTGAGTCGAAGAGGGACTTGACTTGGGCCACTACGGCGCGCGGCGTGGCAGAGTTGGCGTTGATTTGGGCCGCGACGGAGTGGGCTTGGGAATGGAGAAGCCTGCAGCAACTAAGGTCAAGGAAGCATTATCCAAGGAAGCATTATTTTGATAAGAATAGGAACTGGCACAGATGGCATGCGTTTAAAAGAAGGTATTCCTTTTGCTTGTGATGGGGCATATTGTTTTGATAAGAATAGGAATATAATTTATACACAAAAATATGTTCTCTAATATATCATATTTTCACAAACCACAATAGAATTATGAAAATTGTACATCACTGCCTTTCTGCTAGATGAGTTTTATAAATGCAATTTTTAAACTTTTAGTGATAAGTTAGTTTTTCCATTGTCAAGGCATTCATATCAACAAGGGTCTATTAGCTCTTGGGAATGTAATAAGTGCTCTAGGAGATGAAAGAAAGCGAAAAGAAGGTGGCCAAAGAAGGCATTGTTCAATTAACTCACGTTTTCTATTTTGGTCTTCCCCTGTATGCATAATTATTTGTCTTGTGAATGATTTCTTTTTCTCCCTCAACTCCTTTTCAGCATCATTGGCGAAAGACTATTATGACGTGCTTGGTGTGAGTAAGAATGCAAGTTCTTCTGAAATAAAGAAAGCATACTACGGGGTAGGTTTTGATTAACTAGTATCAATATATATATATACTAGAACATTTTTAAAATTTTTTTTTTGGTAAACATGACTTATTTCCTGGTAAAAATTTATGATTTCTTGTATCTTTCCTGGTTAAAAGGGATCATATTATAACATTCTTTTTTACTTTCATGTCTTTCCCAGATGCTTACAAAACTGTCATTTTCTTTATAGTATATGGATACTACAGTCATTTCCCAAGTAGCGATATTAAAAATAATTGTTTGAGCCAGGGAGGATTTCAGCCGAAGCTCTTCGATCTTTGCCACGATGTCTATGGGGAGGTGTTTGGCGAGAAACATAGAAAAGAAAAGGGGGTATGAAACATAGGAAAGAAGAAAACCTGAGTGAGCAATGCGAGCTGTTCGACGGTGGGGTGTGGCGGTGCGGAAAAGGGGATGTGGGATGCGGGGAAGGGAGGTGCGGGGTAGGGGATGTAAATTTAGGAATTTCTTTTTTTTTTAAGGGTAATTTAGATATTTTATATATATTTTTTTTAAAAGGGAGTGTGTTTATACGAGAGTGGAGGTGTGTTTATCATCTGCCTTTTTTGTTTTGTTCCTTTTTCTCTTTCAACTCACGTATGGGCCTAGCCCATTTATTCATTTTTCTAAAGAAAATAAAGTTTTAGGAGTATAATTTACAATATTGTTAAATTTATGTAAGTGGAGCTAACAATTATACACAAAAATTAAGGCAATTTATTTTATTTGATTATTTAAAGTTATTATATGTTAGATTTTCAATAATAATGATAATAATGAGCATGATAAAAATTAATAACTATTTCACAAAATATTGAGAATAATATATTTTATGAATATCGACAATATATTATTCAAAGAAAGGATTATTTGAATGTACAATCTCTTAATCCTAGGCCTAATATATGCAAATTGTGACAATTTGTTATCTTAAAGTTTCTCTTATTTAATTTTTTTAAAATATATATATATATTATCACAATTTTTAATCGGCACTAAGGAGCGGCGCGCCAGGGAGGATTTCAGCCGAAGCTCTTCGATCTTTGCCACGATGTCTATGGGGAGGTGTTTGGCGAGAAACATAGAAAAGAAAAGGGGGTACGAAACATAGGAAAGAAGAAAACCTGAGTGAGCAATGCGAGCTGTTCGACGGTGGGGTGTGGCGGTGCGGAAAAGAGGATGTGGGATGCGGGGAAGGGAGGTGCGGGGTAGGGGATGTAAATTTAGGAATTTCTTTTTTTTTTAAGGGTAATTTAGATATTTTATATATATTTTTTTTAAAAGGGGGTGTGTTTATACGAGAGTGGAGGTGTGTTTATCATCTGCCTAA